AGGCCACACTAGATTTACAAGTGGGAAAGAGAATATTTCCTGAAATAAGTCCCCATGGCTTGCTTCTTCTTGCTTTTTTTTTTTTTTTTTTTTTTTTTAAAGTGCAAACCTGAGAAAAGGGAAAGAGTGTCAACACCTCAGACCACAAGGTCCTGGCAGCTCCGACACACCATATCACTGGACGGCCCTATTTGGAGGGTTAAGAAGTTGGTGAGTGACACTGGCTTGTGAGAGTCTGATTGTTTTGCTTTAAATTTTAAACTTAAATTTTTGTTTTGTTACCTACCTTTAAGGCAATTAAAAATCAGGATTTTTAAAAATTTACTCTCATTTTAACAAATTCCAATGCTTTGCCTGAAGAAATTCCTCTAACATTTTTGACGTGCAGATCCTCTGAAAAATACTTCATTTTTGTCTTCATTGTTTAGGATAGTTTTGCTGGGTATGGAATTCTGGGTTGACAGTCGGGTTTCCCTCCTTGCTGGCACTTTATGATGTCATTCCCTTGTCCTCTGGCTGGCACAGTTTCTAACTAAATAGTGTGCTGTAATTATTATCTTTGTCCCTCTATACCGGTCTTTCCCACCTCTGTCTTCATTTAAGATTTTCTTTCTCATTGATTTTTGACAGTTTGACTATAACATATCTAGGAATGTGTGTGGTGAGTGTGGTTTTCTTAGTGACTTCCAAAATTCTTGAATCTGTGGCATTTTGTCTCTCATTCATTTTGGAAAATTCCTGGCCCTTATTTCTTCAAATATTTTTCTACCCTTTCTCTCTTTAGTTACCTTTTTGTTAAGCTGTTTGATATAGCCCATCAGCCCTCAGGTGCTCTGTTCTGTTCTTTTTTCCCCCACTTGTGTTTTACTTTTAATATCTTTAAGTTTGCTGATTTTCCCCCCTCAGCTGTCCTGCTCTGTTGCAAACCATGAAAGGAAGCCCAGATCGAACTCTATTGTTTATTTCTCACATTTCCATCTGGCTCATTTGTAGTTTCCCTCTGTTTGCTGAAACAGCTCATCTGTTCTTGTAGGTTGTCCACCTTTTCCATTAGAACCTCTGACATGTTCACAACTGTCAGTTAGGGTCCCTATCAGCCCCAACATCTGAGTCATCTCTACTGATTGCTGCATCCCTCAACAAGCCCCAGTTAGTGAGTCCATTTTTATTTTTCCGTGTTTGTCTAGTGATTTTTTTAATTATGTCAAACACTGTGTGTAGAAACATAGTAGCTCCTGAGGTGAACATACTTATCCCAAAATGAGCACGTACAGTGAGGCTGTTGGGGAGGGAGTGGGAGGGGGATGGGACAATCTAGCCAGGAAATTAGCTGGTTTTGAGTTTGTTGTTTCCTCATGATCCTCAGTGACCACAGGCTGCAACTTCCTAGGGAAGGCTTCAGTCACCTGCTGTGCTCAGCATGGGCCTTGGGGTTCCTCACTTGCAGCAGCTCCAGTGCATCTGCCGGATCAGCCTCACCCAAGCTGCTGCCTCTCCTTGGGTGCTGGGCAGATGGTGGCAGAGGGACTCTCAGCTCCTGGTCCAGTCTCATTTGCAGTCTTGGGGTGGGGCCTTCTCAGAATTCCTCTCGATTCTCCCCCTACTCCACTCACCAACAGCCCCCAGCAGTAGCAGAGCATGCTCTGTATCAGACACAATCTGGGGCCTCTCTCACAGATCCCCTTCTCTCAGGGACCTCGGTGCATAGGGTTGATGTCCCCTTCTGAGTGGTTCGAGGCTTCTGCTTCCTATAAAAGGAGAGTCCGGGCCAGGTGGGTATGTCAGTGGCCAGCCATCTCCTGCATGACACCACCAAGGAAACCCAAGGTAGTCACCCCACCTGCCCCAATCTTTCTCACAAGCCTCACAGACCATGACGCTCAGTCAGCAAGAACTCCATGTCTGGTGACAACTGTTTCCCTAAGAATTCAACAGTGTGTTGGCGGCTTTCTCCTTAACCTCTCCCTCTTTCACTTTGCTGAAGGCGAGGCCAGTCACAGGTCCATCCCTTCTCAGTCAGGGGAGGTAGGAATTTTGATCCATTGAGCTACTTTGTTGAGTACAAAAAAGTTGGCTTATGCAGAATACCCAGCTCACTGTTAGGATGGGAGATTCTCTCAGGAAAGCAGAATCTCAATGATTTAACCCATTTTCAATGTAATCCTGTGTTCAGCCTCGCCTGTGGCTGGTGTTCCCGGTGGACAGACCATGTGCACATGAACAGAACGTGTGTTCTCAGAAACACCCATTAGAGCCGGGTGCCAGGCAATGCTGTTCAGTGGGTCCATCCTTTTACCAATTTTCCATCTAGTTGTTCTGTCAACTGAGGAAAAGAAGGTATTGAAATTCCTTCTCTGTCTCCCTTTAGTTATCACCTTTTAAAAAATCCTCATCCAAGGATATGTTTATTGACTTAAGAGAAAGGGAGCCGAAACCGGTTTGGCTCAGTGGATAGAGCATCGGCCTGCGGACTGAGGGGTCCCAGGTTCGATTCCGGTCAAGGGCATGTACCTGGGTTGCGGGCATATCCCCAGTAGGAGATGTGCAGGAGGCGGCTGATCGATGTTTCTCTCTCATCGATGTTTCTAACTCTCTATCTCTCTCCCTTCCTCTCTGTAAAAAATCAATAAAATATATTAAAAAAAAAAAAAGAGAGAAAGGGAGAGAGAAACATCGATGTGAGAAACATGGATCAATTGCCTCCCATATGCACCCCAACTGGGAATTGAACCCACGCCTTTTGCTGTACAGACGAAGCTTCAACCAACTGAGCCACGGGCCAGGGCTAGCTGTCACTTTTTTAATCTCATGTACTTTGAGGTTTGTTATGTCTTCCTGCCTGATGACTCGTCCTTAATCTCCAGGGATACCTGATCTTGAATGCTCCTTCTGACTACTGTCTCCAGTGTACCTTTCCCATCCATTTCCTTTCAAACTTTCTGCATTTCTACATTTAATGTGCATTACCTCTAGAAGAATATAGCTGTATCTTACTTTTTTCTTAAGTTGTTCTGTAGATTCCTGTCTTTTAACTGGAGTGTTTAGTCCATTAACACTTAATGTAATTACTGATACGGTATTTAGGTTTACCACTTAATTTTTCATTTCCTATTAAACCCTTAGTTTTATATCTGTGCTCCTCCTTCCTGCCTTTTTGGGTCATTCAAATGTTTTCAGATCACCTCTTTAATGTGTCCATCAGAGTTTTAACTGTTACTCCACATTTTCCTGGTGCATGTTCCAGGGACCACAATACACGTCTTTAGCTTTTGAATCTACTTAAAGTTAATACTATGCCGCTTCACATAAAATGTGGACACTGCAGCCACACAGGTCCATCTGCGCCTTCTGCCATGCTCCATGTCATGCCTGTCACATGTATTCCCCTCTGAGTGCGTTACAAATCTCAGAAGACAAAGGATTCATTTCACTTTACATAGTTATATGTATTTTGAAGGAAGAAAATGAAGAAAAACCATCTTCACATTTACCTATGTATTTACTGTTTTCTGTGTTCTGTACTCCTGCCCAGGGACCCACGTTCTCACCTCCTGTTACTTCCTTCAGCCTGGAGAGCTGCCTGTGGCATTCCTGTAGTGCTCATCTGCCAGCAATGAATTCTCTCATTTCTCCTTATTTCACCTCCATCCCTGGAGGGCAGAGTCTGGGTGCAGGATCCTGGCAGACCGTGTCCATCTTTCAGCACCACTGTTCCTGGGTGCCAGGGTCCAACCATTTCAAGGGCAATGGTAAGCTTCTCTGGCTGCTTTCAAGATTCTCCCTTCCCCTTTGGTTTTTGATATTGATTTCAGATGATGCGGCAGGCAGCTTTCTTTTATTTATGCTGTTTGTGGTTCACCAATCTTCCTGCATCTGTACACCTATGAGTCCCACCACATTGGGAAACTGTTCAGCCATTCTCTGTCCCCTCCTGGGGCTCTGGTCTCAGCCTGGGCGATGTCTACTGATCTTTCATTCCTGTCACCTCTACCCTACTATCCAGCCCACCTAGGGAACTCCCTATTTCAGATACTGTATTTTTCAGTTCTGAAATTTCCACTCGGTTCTTTTCTAGATTTTCTGCTGTGAGGGCATGTTTTTTTCTTCTTCAGGAGCCTGGTTTCCCTCACCTCGGTACACAGTGTTGGCAGCTGCTCAGACCCTGTCTGAAAACCCAGCATCTAGTCATCTTGGGGTTGGCCTCTGTCGACTGCCTATTCTCTCCAGAATGGGCCTGATGTCCCGGTCCTCTCTTTCTTGTGTGGTTGGGGACTGTGTCCTGAACATGAGGATGTCAAGCTGGGGGCTATCTGGGTTCTGTTATGCCGGAGAGCACTGATGTCTTTGTTGTAATGGCATGCAAGCTGGTGAGACCCAAATGTAACCTATGCCATGGCTGGCCCTGTCCAGTCCTGTTCACTTAGGGGCTGTCTTCTGCTTGTCCCCAGACAGCGGCCGTGGTCCCACTGCCCATTCATCTCTGAACAAAAACCTTACTTACTCTGCATGCTCACTCTGGGTGCAGCGTTTCCCTTAGACTACAGCTGGGGGAACCTGAAGTCCTCCCCCTCCTCTGGGTAGGGTGTCCATGGGCTTGTGTCCACTGGGGACTCAGTGGGGCCTGGAGAGGGGAACACACGTCGTAGGCCTTTTCATTCATCCAGGGTTGGGGATGGATCCATAACATTTGATGGGACCACTACTTGTTGTCACTATTGTGGGACTACTCTACCCAGTAACACAGAGACGGTTCCATGCGCATGAGCCTAAAACTGCATGAGTTCCCTCCTCCGTGTCAGTCCACCACTCTGGGCAGGAGGCTGGCCGCGGGCGGGAGTCCAGGTTAGATAACAAACATGGTCTCAGAACAACATGGTGAAACCTGAGGCTAATGACAGATGCTTAAGCAATGAGAAAGCCAGAAAAAAAGGCAGGAGGATACATACCCCAATACAAAATGTTAACTCTCGCAGAGTTTTTTCTAAATGATTTTCACTTACCAAATGAATACCTGAAAAACAAAAGGAGAAAAATGTATTAAAATCTGGCATGCTTTGCCAAAAAATGTATAAGACTAAAGCATTGTGTTACCCCACTAAGTAGAGCCCATGTCCATGACCCGAGGACAGTGTGGGGTCAGGGCACAGAGCTATGAGCGTTAAATACAGCAGGAAGTGTAGAGGAAGATGTGTCCTCAGGTGCTGAGTGGAGGGGAGAGTGGAGGGGGAACCTGTCCTCAGGTGCTGAGTGGAGGGGAGAGTGGAGGGGGAACCTGTCCTCAGGTGCTGAGTGGAGGGGAGAGTGGAGGGGAGACTTGTCCTCAGGTGCTGAGTGGAGGGGAGAGTGGAGGGGAGACTTGCCCTCAGGTGCTGAGTAGAGATGAGTGTGGAGGGGAGACCTGTCCTAGTTGCTGAGTGGAGGGGAGACCTATCCTCGGGTGCTGAGTGGAGGGGAGAGTGGAGGGGAGGTCTGTCCTCAGGTGCTGAGTGGAGATGAGTGTGGAGGGGAGACCCACCCTCAGTTGCTCTGAGTGGGGGTTTGGAGCCCCACCAGGCTGCCCTGGGGGATAAAAGCCTTTTCATGCCCAGCCCCACCCCACAACAGGCCAATCAAAAAATATTTTGGAAAAAAGTAAATGTAATACTTGGTTTTCCTGCAGTAAACAATTGCAATCAAACAATGTAAGAATGTCATACCCTAGAATCTGAAAATTTAAAAGATGGTATTACCCTGAGCACATATTAGAAAAGGCCCTAAATTAAAGGAATTTGGGGGCTTGTCTCCTCTCTAAGGGCTTGAGGTCTGTCTTCATCTGGAATCTAAGTAGAACCCCGAGTCCTCACACTGGCCCGGGGCTTCAGTGATGCAGGCTCACTTTGCACCCTTGGGAAGGGGAGACACATGAGCCCAAATCATAGACTGTAAATCCTACAACGTAATGGAGCACAGCTAAGGTGGGGATCGCATGTGGCCCTGGAACAAATGCCCCCCACGCCTGTGCAGCTCTGGCCCGTCTTCCAGCCCAGTTAACAACAAGGTCTGCCACTGGGATAAAAAGACCACGCCCATCTTTACAAACATCATGGCCTATGTTTTAGGAGTGAAAAGCAATGGGGAACGGACACACCCGACAGTGTGAATGAACCCCGAGGGCACCGTGCTGTGTGAGGTAAGCCGGACACGGAAGGCCACGCGGCGTGAGACTCCATTTATGGGAAGCATCAGAACAGGTGCGTCCACAGCGACAGAGGTGGGTCAGTGGTGCCGGGGACTGGGGAGAAATGGGTGTGTGTGAGGAGAACCGGGGCATATGGGCTTCTACAGGGGGTGACAAAAACGTTTTATCCTTAGTGAGGGTTGCAAACTTTGTGACTATATAAAGCCACTGACAAGTATACTTCAACTGGTTAAATTTAATGGTATGCAAATTATACCTCAATAAAGATGCTTTAAAAAGTAGTTGTTTAATGAAACAACTATGTATAAAAGAAAGGATCAGGTGAGATTTGCACAGAGCCCTCAGTGAAGAGTGGGCAGGACCCCTGGAGGATGAAGAAGGGTCAGCCCTGGGCGCCTGGAGAGCCGGTGCAGGTCCCAGGGCTCTCTACACCGCCCACTTCTGAATGTGTGTGTGTTTCCACTGTGGAAAGTTCAGATGCAGACCTAGGAGCAAGAGTAATACACGGAAGGGCACGGAAGCAATGGGGCATTGAGGACGAGCTGTCAGGTGGCCATTCTCTCAGAGCTGGGGGTGCTGGCGGCCTGGCAGCGATGGTACTTTTCACAATCCTGGCCCATCAGAGAATCACACTCCTTACAGGTAAAATAACACAAGGTGGGATTTGCTCTTTACTCCAGAAAAGACAAGTTGGGAGGAGAGGGGACAGACGTGTGTGTGAGGGTTCTTTGCATTATACTCTCTACTTTTGAACAGGTTTCTAAGTTTCCATAGTTCAAACTTTTAAAACAGCCAGTGTTTGCACTGGCTAATGAAAGAAACAAGTTTACCCAGCAACTTCTCCCAATAAATCACCTTGTTGATGGAGAGGGGAAGGGGCTGATTTTCACAAACTCATCAAGAATGAAATGCTTCCCATTTTTATCAGGACTGATTAGAAGAGATGGAAGTGGTCAGGTCAGGGCTGGCCTCGCAGCCTGGGCCACAGGACACGGTGCCCGTGGAGACCAGGCACGGGCCTGCGCTGTTACCACGATCACATTTACTGAGGGTATTAAAAAATGTGTTCTTTCGTAACTTCACCTGTTTTGGCATTTTGAATTTCAAGGCTGCCTAATATAAGATTTTTAAATAGAGGTAAGTAAATCTAATTACATGAAAAACTAAAATGCCTTTATTACTTTTATAGCTTTTATTATATTTTTTAACAGCTGGAACTTATTTTAGGAGATGGCTGTCCATGGAGCTATTTTGGGGACGTTCTACTGTTTGTTGTTTTTTTTCTTTTTCTACTGTTTTGTTCTTTAAAGAAACTCAAGCCCTTCCTTTTTCCAAGAGACCAGATTTTGCTCCCAAATGGTCTGTATTAACACAGTACCCCTGCCTGCCTATTAGAGACAGGGCCTCTATACAGAGGAAGACCGTCTCCTGTGAAGGGGCAGAGCCTTGCAACGTCCAGGCTAAAACACTTGCCCACCACACAAAGCGGGTTTTGTCCACGCCCCTTGGGGCTCATTCTACCCCAGTGACTTCTGCATGAGGCTCCTAGTTTCACAGAAGGCCTCTGACTAGAAAAGCACATCAGGCCTCCAGCACTGTTTTGTTTTGTAAAAAGGCTTTATGGATAAATATTTGTTAAACGAGAGGCCCAGTGCATGCATTCGTGCACCGGTGGGGTCCCTCAGCCTGGCCTGTGCCCTCCGGCAATCTGGGACCTCTCAGGGGATGTTGGACTGCCGGTTTAGGCCTGATTGGGCCTGGCCTGTGCGGATCGGACCAAAACCCAAAACCGGCAGTCTGACATCCCCCGAGGGTGTAGTAGTGCACGAAGCAGCAGGCAGCTAGGGAGGAGCCCGAGCCTGGGCCAGGCAGCGCTGCTCCCATTCATCCAGGCCCTGCCGTGCCTGCCACTGCTCGGTAGCACTGCCGCGGAGGTGGGAGAGGCGAGTGCTGCCACAGCTACGCTTGCCAGCCGTGAGCCTGGCATCTGGCACCCGTTGGTCAGCACTCCCAGTGTGGGAGTGCACTGACCACCAGGGGGCAGCTCCCGCATTGACCATCTGCCCCCTGGTGGTCAGTGCATCTCATAGCGACTGGTCGACCGGTTGTTTGGTTGCTTAGGCTTTTATACAGATTCTGCTCATACCCTGGCTGTCGACAGGCAAGCTGTGAATTTGTAAGAATTCCCCCCACTTTCTTGCCAAGCACAGAGCCCCCCGAAGGCTCACTCAGGAAGCAGGCAGACAGGGATTAGTAATAAAGCCTGTTCTTCTAAGCCGCCCTGATTCCTGACGCATGTCTGTGCTGATCTTGTCATCCACAGGGAAGCCCTTGGTTGTGTGGTGATGGCAAACAGAAGCAGCTCAGGATGAAAATGCCGCAGGAACTAAAACAGCAGTCCTCAATGTGCCCACACAGTCAGTTGGCATCTAGCCTGCCCCAACCCCAACCTCTGCTGGAAAAACTCGTCACAGGACCATGGGGAGTGAAGCCCCGTAGCACCTCAAGGCCATCTCAGTGCTGAGGTGCAGGAGCGGGAAGGGCCTCTCTGTGGGTGAGAAGGGCTGTCTTCTTGGGGCCCAGCTGAGGAAGCTCTGAGATAGCTGGACCTTTGTGAGCACAATTGTCTGACAAGAATGGAAGGGCCTACAGCCCTGCTCTCCTCCCTCACCACCTGGGACTGGGCCCCTGCCTGGCACTGGGTACCTGACCCTTATTACCAAAGCAAATGGCACCATTCTGCTTCCTGGAACCTCATAAATCCGAAGGAGAAATTCATTTTTATGCATCAAATGTATCTATACCTGATGAAAGTGATGGGCTATGAACCAGGGCAGGGACAGCCATGGAACGGCGTTGTATTAAGGCTCAGAGCTAAAATCAGGGTTTCATCCTCAACAGTCAGAGCGGAGCCTGACCCCGGTCCCCTCCACATCTCCTGGGCCTGCTGGCATCTGCGCTCGGCACTCTTTGAAGTCGATACCGTCCCGTGTCAGAGGGACGTGCCAGAGGCAGCTTCCTCCACAGGAAGCGACCTCCTGAGCCGCCCAACCTCGGTCCAAGTTTCTAGAGATAATCCTTTCTTCTTTCTGGGGGGGCCAGGAAGGTGGGGAAGAGAGAAGGATGGTTATGCAGCCATCCTTAATAGCAACAAAGAAGCCCTCTAGGATTATTGCCAAAGTAAAGCAGAGACAAAAAGATCACAAATCCAGCTTTTTGGAAAAGCCGATGCTAAATTAACTGGAGAAACTAGGGCGGAAGTCACAATTAGGATTTCCAATAAGGTTCCACCTTTCCCACGTCCAGAAGAAAGGACCAGTGTTAGAAAGGCCTGTCCAGCTGTCTCCCACAGCCCATCCTCAGAAGGCAGAGAGCACCTCAACCAACCAAACAAGAACATAATCAGAGCCTAACAGTGTTAATGGTGGCTAAGTCCTTCTTTAAGATCACCTACATTTTATCTCTATATATAAAAAGCCAGCAACTGGAACACTGTAACAACTGGAACAACCAGTCACTATGATGCCCGCTGCAGCCAGAACTGGCCCGATCAGGTGGTGGGGCCAGCCAGCCAACCTCCCACGGCCCCTCCCCTCAGCCCAGCCCTAACCCAGATCAGCACCCCCCCACCCCAATCAGGGGCAGGGCTGGCTGGCCAACTGCCTGTGGCCCCTCCTCTCCGGCTGTCCCTGCCCCCAATGGGCCCCCACCACTCCGATCAGCCCGTGGCCCTTCCCCCCAATCAGTTCCACCCCTGATCAGCCCCCCCCACACCAATTGGGGGTGGGGCTGGCCGGCAAACCTCCCTTGGCCCTTCCCCTGGCCGTTGACCC